TGGCTTTTGCCCAACGGAGCCTCGTGGCGAAGCTCATCTATCATTGATTCTTCACTAGTAAACACAAGATCTAGAATATTTGGGGTCTGTTTACCCCTAAAATGGGTTGGCTTGGTGATGTTCTGGATTAAAAATGAGTCTCGTACAGACTCCAAGAACAGGGATGCTGGGTGATTCTCATCTCTTGGAGAAGATTCATCTGCTTAGTCTATTTCTGGATGGTTAAAGTCACCAACGATCAACGTATGCGACCTGCTGAATTACATGCTCGGTAAAAGGCTGTTTAGTACTTTATTGTTATCAGAGGAGCTGTTAGGTGATCTGTAAATGACCCCTATGAGAAGGCTATGTTTGCCTTTTACTTTAGAGTAAGTTCACACTTCACACCACACTGATTCTCTAGCTGATTGATGCTCTGCAGAGTGCAGATAGGCCTAACTTAACTTGCTGGGCCCCATAAGAGGTTCTAACCCACAGAGCTACACCTCTACTGCACTGCTCTTCATTTAAGTTATGAAAACAATCAAAACCTGGCAGCTTATATACAGTACCTATAAAGTTATAACAGTTACTTACAAGTTACAAAACATATTTAGGTACAACCGAACCGAGCTCATGTTGAACGTTACCATATTCGTACAATCGTACTCATATATTGAACATAGGCTAGGTGACATGAAGATGACCATGCAAACGGTGAACATTGGCGTGTCCGTTTTGAACACACGACGACACGAATTGCACTGGTTATCTCATCTGGTAATCTGGTTTATGTGCCACTGAATCGACACTTTTTTTTTACTTCTGAATCGGCAAAGCAGTAAGCTGACACGGTTGATAAATACACATTACTTTAATATAAAAAAAACGACAGAGTCAGAACTCAGAAGGCTAAATAAACTTGTCATTATCAACAGTCCAAAAAGTCCTTATCGCTAAATTAGATCATTTCCAAGAAATAAATGAAAAAATCGAATTTATTAAGTCAGAGAATCGAGTAAATGACGTTCTAACGTTATCTCTGACCGTGACCAAAACTGCACTAGAAACTTCGTTATCTTTGCCTTCGGGCAGAATGCATCTTCGGTGATAGTGAGAAACAATTTTTGATGATCATTATTCCGGGTAGAAATAAAACATTTACTGACTAATCGTCGTCGCTCACCTTGCTGTTGCGGATTGGACACGTATGTGACGTATCTTGCGATGAGTGCTTAGCTCGTAGTCGGCATGGGCCATGGTGGTACTACCGTACTGGGTAGTCGGTATACTCGATACCATGGCATAGTATGGTAGAATGGTTTAAATTAAATCATGGTTGGTACCGTCTTAAGAGATAGTCATGGACTCGTGAGTCGTGACACATATAATATACAGCTCTAGACTGTGTATGTGATGTGTGAATAGTAGAAAATAGTGGCCCGATAAAATTCTGCCAAATAATTATATAACTAATTTAAATGAGCTGACTACGGTTATTTAAAAATTCATCATTATTCATTGATAGTTCTATGACATTGTTTCGGGATTAACATGAAAAATCCGGATTCGGGCTTCGCTTGGCCCCTTTGATTTCGAAAGTTCAGAACAGGACAGTATTAGGTACTACCTATTTGGCTATTTATACCAGTACCCCCCGGGCCCCGACTTCATGACCCGAAAAAAATGTTACTGAGTCTTACTATATTTCATAAGGTTTTTGACTTACCTACATAAGCCTACTGATGCTTGCATAACGTTTATGATGAATATTTTAGTATTTGTCAAAGTTTTATGATTTAATTTATTCCAGGTTGTGTCTCTGAGACTGAGAGGAATTTCCGATCATCATGTTATGATATGAAGACTTCTTTCAATATGATTCTAGATTCCGGAGGTCTATGCCTTTTCATGCTGTCAACTTTGGTAAGTTGTTAGTTCAATTAGTGTATTCAAAAAATTTTAATGCCTATGCTAGGCTAGGCTATGTCAGCAATCTGCACTGTGTTTATCATCTTTCAATAATGTGATAGCCTATTATTAGCTAGAAAACACACGTCACACTTGAACATGAACTGTGGCTCAACTGATGCCAGGGGGCAGGATGAGGGTACTGGATAATATGAAATAGCCTGCTTAGCAGTTTAGCCTAGCACAATCAAAGTAGGAATTAGGTGATCCATAATTTTATTCAAGTGCATTTTGACTGCTGCAGTATTCATGTGGGAACAGTTAGGGAAAAAATTGACATCTATATTATTGCTATTTGGTTAACTGTTCAAATTAGGCTGAAAAAAACTATTGTTCCTGTACTGTAGTGGTGTAGCCCAGACAAAGTAAAGCTTCTTTGGTTGTTGAACTTTTTGATGAATAACTTGAATATTTGTATTTTCTTCAATTGCAGGTGACACTGGCTCAGTCAGTCACAAAGTTGTCTGCTGAAGAGTGCATTGCTCTGGGCCTCAACAAGAACTTCTTGATGTGTTCATCATGTGATGCCCTCAAGGAGTTTAACTTGCAGAATATTGAGTGAGTCTGCAATAAAAATTATAACTTTAACATCCATAAATATACACAAATTCTCCTTAATCTCCTACTCTTATTCTAATAATAAATTCAATTGATTAGTTATTTTAATTTTTTGTATATGTTTGTATAGGTACGTATATTAATGTTGATATTCACATTACATTTATAAAGGAACTGTATACTTATAGTAATAATTTTCTGTGATTGATTTCTTATAAAAGTTGTGCCAGTGCCAACATCTTGTAATGCTCATTGCTCAATTCAAGATAATTTTTTTTGTCACCCTTCAGGCCAAGGAAATTGAAATCTAATTGATTAATAATTGATTTTTTTTTCACAACATTTAATCAATGTTACTTTAACAGAGCTACAATAGTAGATTGCTGCAAAGTATCCTACTCAATAAACAGTCAATTGTACAGATCAGAATGCAAAAGTTGCTGTGAAGAAGATGATGTGAATTCAACACCTACTAAGTACCCAAGAGCTTTGCTGGAGGTCTGTGGGTGACGACTGGGAGCATTCCCGCAGGTTCAAGGTGGGTGATGTAAAACAAAACAGGCTGGGAGGTCATTTCTGTTGTTGTTCTAGAACACTCTAACTAACAACAGTAAGGGATGAATTGTGATCATAGGCATAAAATTTTATGAGTCCAAGCCAACATGCATTTTTCTTGTTAAATATGGTGATCAAAATGTACTGTTATGCAATATAATTTTGATATCACAATTATCCTGGCAATAACTGGACCCAAGAATAGGCATTGTTAATGCTTGTTGGAATAAACACTGTATACCTATATATTTTGGGTCCCACATTTCAAACAAAATACAAGCCAGCTCACATTTTCAAGAATTATCAGTGATGCTATATACCATATATTTATATTTGATCTTCCTAGATTTAAATTTTGGGATCTTATGAAAGCACATCATTGAAGTATATTGAATACCTACATATTCGTTTTCAGATGAATTAAAAAATTCTAACATTGCAGCTTTTGTGAAAAGTGAGCGACCTGCGGCCTTCCCCAATCTGTCCATCAAGTAAGTAAATATTGCTGAGGGAAAACTAGTCTTCCTTCACGTCAGTCATAATATCTCGATTACGATGTACTATCATTAATTTATAGTCTTATTCCTTTTACTGTTCTGCATTCGTTGAAATTTAAAAATGTTCCTCAAAGTTGGTCTATAGCTTTTTTGGCTCCTGCCTGCTCTTGAAAGCTTTTCTTGGCTTGAATGTACTTTTCAAAGGACAGCTATTACCATGACCAAAGAAATGCATGCATGATAACAACAATGTCTGTGTTGAATTGTGGTGATTGGCGATCATTTTAATTGGAACATACCTACCATACGATAGTATTGCTAATGTAGTGAAGTTTTGTCAGTATGACCGCTTATATTGGAATGTGATGCTCGTGTCAGGTACGTACGGGGAGCTGACCCTGTCATCAAGCTGATGGACGAAGAAGGTGAGGTGATGGAGACGCTGGCGATTGACAAGTGGAACACCGACTCTGTAGAGGAGTTCCTAAATACTTATCTGCTGTCTCCTGGTGGTGACGACGATGATTTCTCTGCCTTCGACGCCGATCCAGCCAACAATATTAACTGGGACATATGATAAGCTGTTGTTGACCCTCCGCTTCACACAAACTTTCTATAGCTTGTCGCCTTACAATCAAAATGAAGTGTTCGTCACAAACTGTGTGCAGTTGATGAACGCTGAAGCTCAGCAGATTGCAGCGCGGCAGATATAGATAGTTTTCTGACTGATCATGGATGGCTTAAGATAACCAGCTTATATTCTGTGGATTGTAATCTTTTTGCGGCATTCGAAGATCCGGATCGTAATCCTGGTTGTCTAATAAGTTACTTTTGTGACGCATTTTTTGGATGATATTAAAACTTTTTATAAGTACGAGTTGCTTTTAATTTCCCACGTTAGGCTTAGATAATAATTATTTCCTGCGATAGCACTTAGCGACTGAGCTGTCAGTAAAGTGTTTCCTTTTTCTATGCTAGCGATGAATTCACATTGCTTAAATTACTTCCGATGCAGTGCAACGTGCTGTAACTAATTATTTACGGATTCTTATTAAGTTTGCGATCGAGTTATTGGGAGCGTTATTCAACCCGTTACTTAGAGAACCTATCATGGTAAAGGTACATGTTTCGTGCTATGGATAAAAAATTTGAACTGTCACACGCAAGTCAATGCACATCAAAAGCTGAATAATCACATACAATTTGTTAGCGGGCTATGGACTTGTGAGTAATCGCGGCATTCGGTAATCCAATCCATCAACTCTCGTATGGCTTGGAAAAGTAAATCGCATCCTCACGATGAATAAAAGCAATCGGATTTTGATGGAACATTCAGTTGTCATCATGAATCGCCCCCCTTGACGTTATTTTTCATCCCGAATGAACTTGACTGGTACACGAGACACACTGTCAAGTCACCGGCACTGCACGTCAAGGCGATCGAATTTGTCTACTTTATTTCTGCATTTGAGTGGAACAACGAAAACATAATTTAAAATTTATGTGTATTCATGTTTATTAACTTTTATGTGTAATTCAGAGTGTTTAAGCATTTAAAAACATTTAAATTTTGCACAGATTTTCAAGTACTCAATTCGGTACTTTCCTTCCAATTAATAAAATTTGTATTAGAATGTGCAAAATAAAACTCCAACGGTAATTTAACTTCTCATCCACAGACGTTATATCTTCTCCCCAGGAATAAACGAATAAAGTGGAAGCAAATCTATTGCATGTACCCAACTGTAGACTTGTCACTTCCATCAACTTTTTCGTATTCACTCGTGACAACTTACCTATTGACGCGTGACAACTTACGTATTCACTCGTGACAACCACTTGTCGCATTTGACATAGTTTCTTCCAAACCGTATTTTTCCTCTTGTCAATGTGCCGTTCGAGCTCACCGCCCACGCCCGCAATTCACGCAAATATAAACCACAACGCACGGAGCTGTAATAATCAATTCTGCTTGTTTCCAGCCACGCAACAGTAACAAACCTTTGTAAGCTAGCGCAGATATAAGGTTTCTAAATATACTTCGGCATTCAAACCTCAGAAATAATACGAATTATTCTCTGGCATATAAAAACTGTAAAAAATTGCGTTGGTTGTTGTTTATGAAAATTTAAATTAAATAAAAATTGTGCTGATAACACAACATTATTTTTATTTTTGGAAGCCATAAGAAAATGTTATTAATACTCAATTATTTGCCTAGGTTCCTGTACTTATGACTCCCATTAACGAATGTATTTTAATATTGTAGTCTTATTCGACGTCGACCGTAAACATCGTTCAAATAACATCCTATATAAGCATCACATCGACGGTTACATTCAGCGTTGAATAGTACAATGTCCCCATTTAAATTGTGATGCATTCTATATTCTATGTCTTAACGATCTTACGAAACAATTCGAGTACTACCAATATAAATGATCTCAGATGTCATCAAGCCCTGGTCTGCTTTTAAATAAACGTAGAGTTGATTTGGTACAACCTTAGAAGTCAAAACTACTTACATAAGTACCTTAGTAGGCATAACTACTTACAAACCATCTCAGTAATTTTTAACTTATTCTTGGCAGCTCGAGATGGCATCAGTGAAGGCATCCCTGGCGTGCGTCCTGCTGTTCGCCGCTGTGGCTTACGCCGCGTTTCCCCAGCATCAGGAGGTGTAACTTTTTTATTTTGACTTTAATCAAAGTAATATTTATGTCTTATTAACACTTTAACTTATGGCAAGTAAATTTTCTTCCAAAGCGAGGGTATAAAATCAATGGATTGAGTAGTGGATTAATAGTACTGATGTTCTACTTTGATATTTCACTATTTATATGAATTAATTTCGATTATATCCATAATCCGTCATAACTGGTCGCTTTCCAGGCCGCGGCCCAGCACGAGAAGGCTGAATTTGCTGTCGCCGACGTAGCTCGGGCTGACGGTGCTGAGGTTGCGGACACTGAGGCTGGTGAGTAGAATAACGGCATTAAACCATCCTCGTGTTCCCACTCCGATCAAAATATTGAAAAAATCTATGTTAACAGAATAAATTGTGTCTGTGAATCAATATTCTCCCTTATAAAAATTCAGAGATATACGAGTACTCTACATTAACACGAGTTATTTCCAAGCGCAAAATTTTGATCAATACTGGAGAGAAAATATATTTAATAGAATGATACATGTATCTTCTTATTGGTAAATTTAATAGTTAAATGATACTCATGAATTTCAACAATAAACTGCGAGATTCGTTAAGCCTCTACAAGGAGATTGAAGAATTTCCCCACAAAATTGAATGCATGAATTGAAATGAATGCATGGTCAATTGAATGCATTGACTGTGTAATAGCTATTATGTATATAATGTTTATTCGTATTCATAAGAGAACTTTGATTCCTAATTTTGCGAATTAAGTAAATAACGATGTTTATCGTTAAAAGTTTATCCCAATGATATCGATCAAAATAGACTTATAAATAACTATCATGTTATTGAAATATAATTTTGTGGCTTCGTGCAGGATAAACCATTATATAATATGAAGTAATTTTCCTTTCATCATTTCAGAAGCAAAAGCGTATTGTTATGGTAGTTGTTGCAAGTACTTCAAATGCTTCTACGGGGTAAGTGACCTTCTTCATTTTATTCAACTCAGAACATTGAAACATCATTAAATTAGGAACTCGCTACATTTAATGACTTACTATACCATAATACTATTAATTGATTAATTAAAAATAACAAAATCACAGTAACTTCTCAATGGCCCATGCATGTTGTTCGTTTTTTTCCTCTCCTTTTTAAGATTGGCTGCAAAGCCCGCGGTATCGTCTGCGCTTTTTATTATTTTCGTGAATCACAAAGTTGACAATCATCTTCGAAAGAATATAATGGTCTATGCCGGAATTGAGTCTCAAGTAGCCATACTGTGTACGCCAAATTATTTTGGACCATTTTGATTTGACACGCAGTAAACCGGTTTTCTGAATAGACATTCGTGCACTGAAGTAACTTTCCCGTTAAGGATACATTATAATATGATTGCATGGCAATGAAATCATTTTCTACGATATAACAATGAATGAATTCCTTATTTGCAGTTGGGAACGTGGGACTCCTACTGCTACCCGAACGAGAAAGTAGTTTACTATTGCTATTCTTTAGTCTACGGTTACTTGCGCTGCTGCGTTCCTTATACTTCTGGATAGACACAGAAAGTTCTTAGTCTAACTACTACGCCAGTGCACATAGCTAGTTCTTGGTCCTGGTAGCTACTACGTCGGTACACAAAGCTAGTTCTTGGGTCTGGTAACTACTACGTCAGTGCACATAGCTAGTTCTTGGTCCTGGTAGCCACTACTGCAATACATGGCTTGTTCAATAAATATTAGTGTCGCCGGTAAATCGCTCATTGCTGCACATCGACTAATTTCCTGGCTATTTTTTTCGATATAATATTCTCTGATCTATCTTCATGAAAAAACACATTAAAAAGCAACTTGCATTGTGTTTTATTGTCTTACTTCGACGTTCCAATTGCCATCCATGAAAACTTTGAGATTCCTAAAATCCTGTATATATGTTGATAAGATAGCAAGCTAAAATGTTCATCTCAATAATTTAACATTTCTGTGGTTACATAAAGACGTCACTCAAATAGTGAAGAGGGAATGCAGCAGAATAATTCGGTATTGATAATGCGCTCAGCGCTGTCATTGAATAATTTACAACGAACTTGTTAGGAAATAGACACAAATATAAAAGTTAAAACCAACATTTTATTAAGAATCCAAAGAATTATTTCCGAAATTCAGCGGTGTCGTAAATAGCGAAAACTCAGCTACGGTTCCTGTGAACTACAAACTGGAACGAAAGAACACTGGGCGTTACTGCGACGAATTTAGATTCTAGAAGCTAACAAAGTTCAACAATTTAAACAATTATATTCCAATTTCACTTGAGTGGCATAAGATAAAAAAGTGGCCGCATTCCCAGGCTAACCTCTTTTCACACAATTAAATCGAGCACAGATGACGCGTCGGGTGGTAGGCTAGCTGGCAGCAGTTGACGCGCAACGATTACGCAGGAAGAGAGTTGGTGAAGTGTATTCCGGAGTTATACTGTGACAAAAGGACTGGATTTGATTTACAAGTACGCCATTTGAATCTAACTATATTCAATTTCCGAATTAGTTCCAAGTTAATTTCAATTTAATGGGCAATAACGATTGTCCACTTACTATAGTACTATAGTAGTAGTAGTAGTCCACGCTCCGAGTATGAACGCCTTCAAGAACAGACTAGACGAAGCTATGCAGGAGCATATGTTCAGTCTTAAAGTGCCTAGCAAATTACGGACCAGGCAATGAGTAAAGCAGCTATCTCGATCAATCGTCAGTTATGGGAAGATCGGGTTCCAAAGGCCGGATCCCTTGCGAATCAAGTCACGAAAAATTCAAGAATCGGCAATAGGCCATGGGCCTATTTCTTCAATGCCGACACTTCTATTCTATTCTTCTATTCTACTAATCTTCTAAATTAATGCCGCTGGCTGAATTCAGGAGTGGCATGAAAGCCTTTCAGTTCAGGGGTAAATTGTTAATGGGTGCAAGTACAAAATAAAAGATACACTGGCCGGCCTAACTTTGAGGGTTTAATTAAGATGAGCTTAAAGCGTTAAAACGCTAGGAGGTACAGAGGCCAGCAATGATGCCAAGAATAATAAATGTGTCCACGACACCTAAAATGTTGGGCCAGACCAAAGAGGTGACATTGCATGCATTAATATTACAAATTAAGGCCCTTGGCAAACATTAAATCCAATTGGTTAATAGGAAATGAGGTTGAACCCAGTTTGCAGTAGCACATACTCCTTCAGAGAGCGACTTTAGAGTCACTTACTTGCTAAATACATTCTTTTCTTTTGAACAATAACCTTCTCCTCTGAAATCGACGCGCTACAAACTTCTTCCTTTCTTCTTTTCGAGGTAAGGGAGCTCTGGAGACTCGTTCAAGGGGGTTGCCTGCTGAAGACCACCACTGCCCTGGATGTAATGGACCATAATGATTCCTGCCTTCCGGAACGAAGCCTTCAACACTTGGGCAACCATATCTAGGTCGTGCGTCGAACCAGCCCTCGGTCGAACGGCCACTTGTCGAAGGACGATAAATATTGGAACAGAACTATGCTATTTGAAACCTAATCTCAGATGCTGTGAACGTAAAATTACGTAATTTAACGATGCCTGGAAGTCATATTCGATCCGCGGCCTGGTGGTGCACGGCAGGTTATACGCAAGGCCGGAGGAGGACAAAGCCGAGTGGTTCACGGCTGATTGGTGGATGTCCGGAGATACAAGGCGTTCGATTCAGGGCTTATTGGTGCACAAAATTTGTGGTGCACGGCTGCGCTCCCGTCCAAGGTAGTAGTGCTACAAACTTAATTTTCGTTGTCTCCGTTATATTAAAACGGAACATAATTTCTAATAACCAGAACAAAATTTCTAATAAACTAAAAAAAAACTGTTTTCCGCAAAAATTTCCATTATCGATCAAAAGCTTTTCGGAAGAACCATCTTCACAGAGCTTAGTGATACTCAAACGTATTTGGTCTCGTGACAACGTTAAATGAGATATGCACAAGTCGCTATTTTATCAAAAAAACAGGCAAACTTCATTGACGTGACGGTAAATACTGTCTGATTTTACCACGTTTTTCTTAGCTCGCTTTCGTGTCTGTGATGATCAAATCTTGCAATCGATATTTCACCAACTTTCCCATTAGCTAGCGCTCTGAAACTTTTAGGGAAGCTCAGCTCCCGATAACAATACAATAATCAATAATACTAGATACGGACGGCTTGGTGGCGGATATCACATTCGCTGCAAGGCTCCGGCGCGCTACGTCCGAGTGGTGTAGAATTTTTTCGCGGTGCGGCGGACGATACTAGGCCATTCGATCGCCGGCTGTTTCTCCTGAGGGCTGATTGGTCTAATTCAATTGATTCGTTCTGTCTGGTGGCTTTCGGCTGCCTATATGATTTTCCAGTAGTGTTGAAGGCTACGTTCCGGAGGGCAGGAGTCATGATAGTCCATTACATCCAGGGCAGTGGTGGTCTTCGGCAGGCGACACGTTGTAAAATATTTTAACTGAAATACAAAAGACCAAGAGAATGAAAGCAAACAGAGATCAGTAGCTGCCGAAAAATTATTTTCTACTTTTGAGTCCACATGAAAAACTTGGTCTTTAAAAATTTTTTTATACATTTTATTATGAGTACCGTAACTCACTTGTTATCTCAGTTCCAAATAATTCAGCTAAGGAGATCTCACAAATAGTTTTGAAAAGTTTTGTTATACGACCACTTTATAGGAGAATGCAGTAAGAGGTTATTTGCTGCTCTTAACAGATGCGCTCCAAGTGCGCGTAGAAAATTATTCCAGGAGTTTAAGTATATAAAATATGAAAAATATTTTTTCCATGATGAGTTAGCAACATCAATACTTAGAGTTTTCGTTGCAGCGCTGCAATGACTCGTAAAAAACATTCTTAAATATATTTGTACTGTTGAAAAAATTCTAGCTGTATTCTAACGCTTGAAACCGCAGACCACTCATGGCTTATTTTACAGGTCTATTTCAAAATGGAATAATGAACTAAGTTCTTCTTTCTACTCGATAATTTGACAACTTTAGTCTTTACAGAATGCCAGAAATGTTGAATCATAATCAGCGAATACTCTCTCTGGACTTGTAAAATCTGTCAAAAATGATGAATTAGTCACAGCACTAGAGAGCGGGAGGTTGTGGGGGCTAGCACCCGACCAAGCGTAGAAAATAATTTCACGAGTTCAAGTATATTATACAGTATAAATGATATTTATTCATGATGCGTTAGCAATACAAAATACGTATAGAGTTCTAGTTGCAACTCTACGTACGATGACTTGTAAAAAATACTCATAAATATAGTTGAACTGTAGAAAAATTCTAACGGTATTCTAACACTTGAGACTGAGACCACTTGTGGCTTTTTTTTTACAGGTCTATTTCAAATGGCATTATGAACGAAGTTCTTCTTTCTACTCTATAATTTGATGACAATCTTAGTCCACACAGAATGCCAGAAATGTTGAATCATTATGTGGGCGAATACTCTCTCTGGACTTGTAAAATCTGTCAAAAATGATGAATTAGTCACAGCACTAGAGAGCGGGAGGTTGTGGGGGCTAGCACCCGACCATTGATTGTTGTTTGACTTCGTTTCAGGTATTTTAAGGGCCTGCCTGGGTAACAATAGTTATGCTAATGGGACCAGATTGAAATCAACTAGGGCGGCCTGATGAAATTGGTTGGTTAATAACAAATGAAGAATTGTCAGAGTTTATTCTTAGCTCACGTGACCTGCTTGATTATTGTGGCCACGGGACGAATTAGGAGACAAGGGCACGTGGCGATGACGAGGTGTCAGGAGCACGTGGTGATGACGAGGTGTCAGGAGCACGTGGTGATGACGAGGTGTCAGGAGCACGCGGCGATGACGAGGTGTCAGGAGCACGCGGCGATCACGAGATCGCCCTCATCTTAGTATAGTATAGTATCTTCGGCATTGAAGAATAGGCCTGGATAGGCATGTCGCCGATTCTTGTACTTTTCTTGACTAGACTGGCCTTTGGATGAAAACTTTTCAACGTACGGTAGATGTAAAATCGCTTCTAGATTTCAGTTGTTCCGTAGGATACGAGGCATTTCAAGACTAGACATATGCCCATGCATGGCCTTATCCAGTCTGTTCATGAACGCGTTCATACTCGGAGCGTCAACAATATCTTCAGGGAGGCTGCTCCACATGTCGGTGACTCGAAGCGAGAATAAATGTTGTCGCGTGGATAAGTTGCACCGCAGTTTTTTTTAGTTTATAGCTGTGTTGGTTCTTGGTGTTGGTTCTTGTTTCAAATTCTAGTAATCCTTCTGGGACCTTGTACAAACCTGGAGTATACTTGTATACTTCAACGAGGTCACCACGCAGGCGACGATAACGGAGACTGTGAAGCTTCATAATCTTCCATATTTCTTCATAAGACTTGCCCTTTAAGTTAATCTTCTTCTCAATATAAGAAGAAGATGAGAGTCAGTGTGTTTTCATCGGTCCAATTGAATGGATGAACGATTGAAGATGCTCTGGGTAAGACGAAGGATCTAGAAATGGTTGATGATTTTTATAGTGCGGATCGGCTGTCGCTTTCAGGGCATCCATCAGTCGCCTGTGAAATCGTTCTGTTATACCATTAGCACGAAGATGATATGCGGTTGTTGAAATGGGCAAGCATCCGAGTGTTTGCATGAGGTTTAGCATTATGCTGCTCTTAAATTGGGCTCCTCTATCTCAACTGATAGATACTGGAACAGCAAAGCGAGCGATCAAATTGTTCAGAATGGCGTTTTCGCAAGTTTCAGCGGTGATGTTTGCCAATGGTACAGCCTCTGTCCATCTCGAGTAACGGTCAATCATGGTCAATATGTAGCAATATCCCTTACTATAAAGAAGCGGGCCTACAAAATCCACATGCAATTGATCGAACTTACCGCGTTCATATAAATGACGGAGACAGCAGATACGTTGTATCGGGTAATTTTGGCACGCGTTTTTATGTCGGAATTTATGCCGGGCCAAATGAAGCGAGTGCGCATTTGCCTTAATGAATATCGCGCTTCAGGATGTGTGTGCGGCGCATGCATGCAGGAACGTACGGTTTTGCTATTTTACTATAAAATTCGCAGATTATGCCATTTCGACGAATCAGGGCTAGAGATGTTGGAATCTCTCCTGTCAGTATAGCTTTGAGTTCTTCATCCTTTTCTTGTTCGAGAGCCAGGTTGGCTTCATCTTCATGAACGAAGAGTGCAGATAAGGAGAGCTGGTTGTAAATTTCAGATGCAGGAGCTTCCGGCAGGCGACGTGAAAGAACATAGGTGACTACGTTGCTGTCGCCGGAGACATGACTAATTCGATCTGGAGTTGAAAGAGCTAAAGAATTGTAGTAGACGAACTTCTCTTGAGTTATCTCTCTGCGAAGGGTTTTCGACTTTTCGACGGCACCGACGGTTGGTTTGTGATCAGTGATAATGAAGAAGTCGACATCTTCAATCAAGTATTTGAACTTTTTTATAGCCAGATAGATGGCAAGAAGTTTTTTGCTTAAGACTGAATAATTTTTCTGAGCCGAAGTGAGAGAAAAACTGAAGAAAGATATGGGCATAGTTGCTCCGTTGACTGTTTTGAGGACTGCTGCCACAGCACTGGACAGCAGTGCTGGATGCGTCACCGGCGCTGCACATCTCCGCGCCAGGAATTGGGAGCGACAGCATCGTTGCTTCAGCCAGTAAGCTCTTGGAGCGTTCGAAGGCTTCAATTTCTTCTGATGCACAAGAGAGCGTTGAATTTTTTCTTGGTGCATGCAATGCCCGCCAATTTTGCATAAAGGCGAGCAAGCATTGATGCGGCGCGAGGCATGAAACGTCGGTAAAAATTGATCATGCATCCCAAGAAACGATGAAGGGCTTTGGCTTTCTCAGGTCGCTGAAAATACAAATACTACATGTCAGACGCGTGAATAAGGCACGCATGTCTTCTAGATTCTGTTCATCGTCGTCAGATGCTATAGTAAGATGTCGCCGATATAGTTGAAGAAAGTTACTGGACGAGATGCTCCTGTGCTCAAAGGAGCTGACAAATGACGAAGTGCTTCATCGAGAAAGCGTTGAAATGTCTGACTGGCGGGACACAAGTCAAAGTTCATTTGAGGAACTCTTGTGAACCTAATGGAGTGAAAAATGGGGTTTTTGGAATTACATCAGGGTGAATTGGCACTTGTAAGAAAGACAGATTTTAGATCAACACATGTTCTTACCATTAAGTTCGGCAGAGAAATTGGTTAGGAAAGGTAAAGTGTATGTACATCAGGTTTAGTGCTCTTGTTGAGAGCGCGATAGTCACCCATTCACTGGCCTCCAATAATTATCTTGGAGGATTTGAAATAAGTAATTTAAATTAATTTGAATTTACCAGCAAGCTAATTTCAATACAGTTCAATTTTATTTAGCGTGTACTTGTAGTGATGATAAAACGTCTAAGGATGAGAAAGTAAATTAACGCAAAAGTTCTGTATTGCATTTTACAATATATGTTTATTCTATTAATTAACGCGGAAGTACATACTGTATTTATAACATAAGTGTGAGCAAAGTAATAACATTCAAGTCACTTTACCTTCAGGGCCGCGTATGAACTCTTTTCTTCGGAACTGATTGATTGAGCTGCAGTCCAAGCGTTCATACAGCATAATTGTAATAACGCTACCAAATATAAGTAAATAATTCGAATATTATTTGCTTGAATATTATTTCTAAGTTACTGTTCGTTATTATTTTGATAAACTTTAGATAATTTTGAGTTGTTTTTTGCACCTTATATAGGAATTAGTATTTAAAAAAACATCTTATGTACGTTCGGTGCCCTTAAGTGGCAAAAAGTCTTTACGAGTAAAAAAGGGCGATTCATTCATGTAGGTTTCACGAAGTTCATTATTGAATGAATTCAATTAATGATATTTATCAGAGTGCCTTGCCATCAGAGGGTTGACATCAGAGTGTGGCCACCAGGGAGTGTCTAAGCATTTAACAGCATTTAAATTTACAGAATATTTAAGTATTTCAATCTGATTTTGCAGTACTCAATATTTTACTTCCCTGTTAATTGATAAAATTTGTACTGGAAAGTACAAAATAAAGCTCCTTCGCTAATTTTATTTATCATTCACAGACTTTCCATCTCCTCTCCTAGTTCATGCTTTATAAAATAAACGACTGAAGTGAAAACAAATCTATTGCATGTACACAACTGAACAGACTTGTCACTTCCATCAACTTCTTCGTATTCACTGGTGACATCTTACCTATTCACGCGTGACAACTTACATATTCACGAGTGACAACCACTGGTCGCATTTGATATCGTATCTTCCAAACCGCATTTTTCCACTTGTCAATGTGTCATTCCAGCTCGCCGCCCACGCACTCAATTCACGCAAATATAAACCACAACGCATGGAGCTGTAATCACCAATTCTGCTTGTTTCCAGCAACGGAAAAGTAACAAACCCTGGTGAGCTGGCGCAGATGTAAAGTTTCAAGGTATACTTCAGTATTCAAACATCAGAAATAATATGAATCATTCTCTAGCATACAAAATACAGTAAAAATTGTGCTCGTCGCTGATTTCAAAAATTAAAATTCAATTAAATTATTCTGATAACACAACATAATGTTCAGTGGACCAAGAAATTTCTTTTTCAATGATCTTACGAAACCATTCGAGTTCTACCAATATAAATGATCTCAGAAGTCATCGAGCCCTGGACTGCTTTTAAATAAAGTAGAGTTGATTTGGTACAACCTTAGAAGTCATAACTACTTACAAACCATTTCAGTAATTTTTAACTTATTTTCGGCAGCTCGAGATGGCATCAGTGAAGGCATCCCTGGCGTGCGTCCTGCTGTTCGCCGCTGTGGCTTACGCCGCGTTTCCCCAGCATCAGGAGGTGTAACTTTTTTATTTTGACTTTAATCAAAGTAATATTTATGTCTTATTAACACTTTAACTTATGGCAAGTAAATTTTCTTCCAAAGCGAGGGTATAAAATCAATGGATTGAGTAGTGGATTAATAGTACTGATGTTCTACTTTGATATTTCACTATTTATATGAATTAATTTCGATTATATCCATAATCCGTCATAACTGGTCGCTTTCCAGGCCGCGGCCCAGCACGAGAAGGCTGAATTTGCTGTCGCCGACGTAGCTCGGACTGACGGTGCTGAGGTTGCAGACACTGAGGCTGGTGAGTAGAATAACTGCATTAAACCAGCCTCGTGTTCCCACTCCAATCAAAGTTTTGAGTGAAAAAAATCTATTTTGTCAGAGTAAACTGTGTCTGGGAATTAATTTTCTCCCTTACAAAGAGTCAGAGATAGTACGAGTACACAACATCGATACGAGTTATTTCCCAGTGGAAAAATTAGATCAATACTGAAGAGAAATCTTTTGATACCATATTTATTAGAGCGATACATGTATCTTCATATTGGCAAATTCAATCATAAAGTGATAAGCATGAATTTCAACAATAAACTTTAAGAAGCGTTGAGCCCGCAAGGAGATTGAACGATTTCTCCACAAAATTGAATGCGATTGGTCAGCGTTATGCCATCACAATCTTAGCTGCTCACTGATGAAGCGTTATGTTATCATTCTAGAAATAATTTTCATGTAACAAACTATTACCATGTACTAGCTATAATGTATGTAATGTGTACTTCATATTCATAAGGGAACTTTGATTCCTAATTTTGCGGACTACGTAAATAACGGTTTATCGTTAAAAGTTTATTTAATACTATAGATCAAGATAGACTTATTACAAATAACTATCAGGTAATTGAAATATAATATGATGGCTTCGTGTAGGAAGAATCATTATATAATATCAAGTAACTTTCCTTTCATCATTTCAGAAGCAAAATGGATTAATTGTTACCCGGGCTGGTCATGTTACTCCGGGGTAAGTGACCTTCATTTGATTCAATTGAGAATATTGAAACATCATCAAAGCAAGTACTTGCTACATTTAATGACTTACTATAGCGTAATACTATTAATTGAGCAATTAGAAATAACATAATCACAGTAACTTCTGAACGGCGCTTCCATGTTGTGGTTTTATTCCTCGGCTATAAGATTGGCTGCAATGCCCGCGGTATCGTCAGCGCTGGATGTCCCATACTCCTCGACTTATTTTTAATATTTCCGTGAATCTCGAAATTGACAATCAACTTTGAAAAAATATAATGGTCTAAGCAGGAATTGAGTCTCATGCAGCTACACTGTGCACGCTAAATTATTTTAGACCATTTTGATAGACCATTTTTAGACCAGTGAACCGGTTTTCTGAATAGACATTCGTGTACTGATGTAACATATATCCCGTAGGGATGCCTCGAATAATGACACATTATAATATGATTGCATGACAATGAAATCATTTTCTACGATATAGCAATGAATGAATTCATTATTTGCAGTGGGGAACGTGGGACTACTACTGCTACTACTGGGAGTTTACTGCTTACACGTGCTATTCCTACTACTACGGTACCTTGCGCTGCTGCGTTCCTTATTACTTAGGATAGCGGACTATTACTGCGATACACGGGAAGTTTTTGGTCCTGGTAAATACTACGTTGTCCTAGTAACTAGCTAGTTCTTGGTCCTGGTAACTACTTCGTCGTCGTGGTAACTAGCTAGTTCTTGGTCCTGGTAGCTAGCAAGTCTGTACATGGCTTGTTCAATAAATATTAGTGTCGCCGGTGTACCGCTCACTGCTGCACATCGACTCATTTCCGGGCTATTTTCTTCGAAATGATATTCTCTGATGTGTCTTCATGAAAAAACGCATTAAAAAGCAACTTGCATTGTGTTTTATTGTCTTATTTCAACGTTCCAATTGCCATCCGTGAAGACTTTGAGATTCCTGAAATCCTGTGCATACGTATGTTGATAAGAAAGCAAGCTAAAATGTTCATTTC